AATTCTCTTCATGGCTACCTTAGACACATTGCTCTGACACCTTGACTGGAAAAAACAGGACTGTTAGGAACAGGGGATATCCCGCATCTGCTTCTCACTAATGATTGTGTATTCATCACAAATACCATCCTGGAGCTCTATGAAAAGCTGTAGCAGCTGTAAAGGCTTAGAGATGAACCTTGATTTTAGGTAAATAGATAGATAGATGATAGATAGATATAGTGTGTATGTATACATGTGTTATGTATATGTAGATATACACACATACATGCATATGTTATGTATATATGTGTGTATGTATATGTATATATATATATTTGTTTATAAAATGAACATTACATTCAAAGACTAACAATGCTCATGACTTGGAGATCAATGTAGTAGTAGTTTAGATGTACTTGAATCACAAATTTGATGTCACCCGTGTCTCACAACACGGAGTTCTTGCACAACCTCGGTAATTGTTGACCTGACACTATTACCATCATCAGTTTGACATTCAGATAGGAAATGTCATGTTGGATCACAAAGTCTGTCAAGAAACTTCATTGGACATATGACCCAAAGCCACGTAGATTCATTTTAACTACATCCTGGATAGTATTTATCACTAATGAGGTACGGGCTTGGAGGATTAAAAAAAAAATTGAACTCTAATGTTCCGTGCAATGGTTTATGCATGATAGGATTCATTATGGAATTAGAAGACCAGATGCTTATCATAACCCAGCATGCAATGGAAAGAATAACGTATAGAACGTCTCTATGGGTCTAAATGACTAATAAAAAAATTTTATGAAGGTCAGAAATGGTTTGTTTGTTGAAGTTAGTATCTTGTGTAAAGAGATATTGAATGGCTTGTATAGCAAGGGATGATGAACAGATAAACTACCTGAATACCAGATTGGAGTCAATGGGACCACAAAAGGCTATTCTGAAGGCCAGAAATTTTGTGGGACATGCTAATGGTCTTTTTTTTAAAAATTCAGTGAGCGTGAGCCATCAGCTCTGATACTTGATGATTCTGCACCCTCATCAGTAAATCAATAAGCATGTATTAAGTACTCTAAGTACTTACTGTGTGCCATGCCATGTGGTAAATGTTGGAGATACAAAGACAAAAGTGAAACAGTCCCTAACCTCAAGGAGTTTACATTGTTGTGTAAATCTATGTATACCACATTGTGGAGACAACATAGACGTATTTGTTAATATATAGAATATACAAAGTGAATGCAAAGTACAGTTTTGGAAAGAGAGTATTCTAGAATCTTGGGGAGAGTGGAGTATAGAGGGGAGGCTTTATGTAAAAAGTGATGCTTCAGCTGAGACTTGATAGAAACCAGAGATTCCAAGAGTACATTCCAGGCATGATAATGGGAAATGATGTGTTGTGTGAAAAGAAAAGCAAGTAAACTATCAATGGATCACAGATTGCATAGAGAGGTGTAATGGAATAATATAGTAGAGGACTGGAAAGGTGGGAGGGGGCTGGGTTCTAAATAGATGTAAATGCCAAATAAAGGAGCTTATATATTTGATTCTAGAGGTAATAGGGAGCCACTGGAGGGAGGTATATATATGGGGGTCTGTGAGTCTGTGTGTCTGTATGTCTTTGTATATGTGTGTATGTGGGTGGATGGGTGTGGGTGTGGGTGTGCTGGGGAGGGGAAGTGATATGATGAGACTAATCTTTGAAGAAAGTCTATTACGCAACTATGTGGAACATCTGCTTGAATGGTGAGAGATTTGAGGTATGGAAACCAAACAGGATTGTTAATAATTCAGGTAAGAGATGATACAATTCTGAACTAAGGTCTGACTATGGGAATAGAGAGGAAAGGATTCTATAGAGATAGAAATGTATTTGGTCAGTGAGAGTAAGGAGATGAGAATGACATCACAGTTGATAAGCTGAGTTCCTGGAAGAAAGGTGAACCATTGACAATAGGGGAGTTTGGAGTTAATGTTGGATTTTGAGGGAAAGATGACGAGTTCTCTTTTGAACGTGTTGAGTTTGAGATACTTATGGGACATCCAATTCTAAATATCCTACAGGCAGCTTGTGATCATAGAGTCAAATGTGAAACTTGACTTATGGTCTTAAAAGCTAGAGAGGCAGCAAGCAGTGTGATCACAGAACAACGTCACTCATATCTGGCAACATTGGGTGCTTAGGAAACCTTGGTAATTATTCACCTGACACTGACCACCTTCATCAGTTTGAAATTCAGACAAGAAGGGGACTGCCATAAATATTGTCATTCATTCTTTCTTCCCTTACCCTAACTTGTGGTTTTTTACCTCACAATTTGAAATGACTAGATCTCCTTTCTCTATCTCCCATTGTACACTAATTAGTTTGTAGTTTAGTGAGCTTCTTGATGCAATGTGGTGTAATGGAAAGAGCCCTGGACTTGTGGATCATGCCTGAGTTCAATCCTAGCTAAAGTAAATAATTAATTACTATTAACAGTCAATTAGAAGACTTTTAATCACCACATAGAGCAAATATCCCTTAGTCATTCGTGTTATCATTTGGAATGAAACCAAGAAGAAAATGTATATGTTCTCCAAGGACTGGTTCTCATAGCTTAGGCCACGTATGCTACAGAAGCATTACCTGGGAAGTGAAACCTCGGGGAATTTCTAAACAGTGGCAAGACAGGGAAGGTGGAAAGTGAATTTTTAAAAGAGAGGGAGAAAAGAAACAAAGAATCTATATGAGTAAATGCGGTTTCTATCCAATATGGTATGGCCTTTGAACATGTCAGACATGAACTACATAGACATGGAACATTCCTTAGCTAGATGGCCACTATCATCCAGTATACAAGGTATGATGACCTGGACAACTACATCAACTTCCACCTCAGATGACTAAGTGAAATAGTGAATAATGGGCCAGACTTGATGTCAGGAAGACTTATATTTGAATCTTGCCTCAGATATTTCCTAGCTATGTGTTCCTGAGTAAATCCATTAATATCCCAGGCTTATCTGAAAAAATGAGCAAAAGAGCACCTACCTCACAGATCAAGTGAGATAATATATGTAAAATTCTTTGCAAACCTTGAAGGCCTATTTAATTACTACTACTCCTACTCCTACTCCTACTCCTACTCCTACTCCTACTACTACTGGCTCATTTCCTCATTAAATCTCCCTCCAGGTTCAATAGACAGTCTTACGTATGGCTGGGTTCTAGAATATTTCACAGATTTCAAACATTCTCATTCTGGTGGACATTTATCCTCACCTCTCTCTTTTGAGTTACCTTTCCCTCTCTCAGTATTAAATCATGTACTTATAGCCTTGGACTAAAATCATTGTAAATGACTATGTTCTTTAGTAACAATTTCAAATAGCATCTATTCACAGACAAGGTATAGAAGGCAGCAATAGAATACACAGCCAAGTACAGCCCATTCATTTCCCTCCTCTCTCCTTTCCTCTCCTAATTTAGTCTTGGGGAGAAGTAGAGAGGGAGTGGTGAGACAGGTAAATTCCTTCCAGGATAGCTCTACAGGAAATCAAAGTCAGTCAAGTAGTATTTATTAAGCATATGCAAGGCACTATGCTAAATGCTAGAGATTCAAAGAAAGGTAAAAGATATTCCCACACTCAAGGAGCTTATAATCTGATGGGGACGACAACATGCAAACAACTGTGTACAGGTAATATATATACTAGATAAGATGGAGATAATCAAAAGAGGGAAGGCATGAGCATTAATGAAGACACTTCTTACAGAAGGTGGGACTTTAATTTAGACCTCAGGGAAGTCAGGGAAGCTGAGAGGTAGAGGAAAGAGACAGAAAGACAGATAGACATGGGGACAGCAAATGAAAATGCTAAAAATTGGGAAGAAAAAAAAGAAAGTTGTTGTGGATTAGACTCAGGTAGTCTAAACTGTCCCATGTGACTTGGTTTAGCCCTGTCTGCTTTCTGCTGCAGTTTGCTCTTACTGACTTATACAGTAAGTGTCTTTCTATCTGGCCACTTAACTTTTGCTCTCACTCCGATCCTTTCCATTGACTTCTGCTTTCCATTGAAAGAGTTCTGTCCCTGATTTCCTTTTCCTTCTTGATGTGAAGAGAGGGAACTTGGTGCAAACCTTCTCTCCCCTGTCTGTCTCAGTCGCTTGGCTTCAGATCCAAATGGAAGTTCCTTACAAGGGCAAAAATACTGGAAGACCTAGGACGTTCTGTGTAATATGTGCCCAACTGTCTCACCTCCAAAACATGAAGTCTCCATTGGAATATCCCTGGGGTAGGGCTTATAATTTCAAAATGTAAGAAGTAGCATTTTGTTACGTATACACCATGAACAAGGTTGGTGAGGGGGAAAACGGGGAGGAGTGGAATGTATGACCCAGTACAACATATGATTCAAAGTTATTTCTATTTAGTTTTAGAACATAGATACATAAATTCCGTTGCTTATGTGCACAAATATGTCCGCAGCCCTTTTAGGGTACCCCAGACAATACATGCTATATTTTGCTACTGCAACAGATATAACTTAGTGGTTAATCATACAAAGACAGCCTTGATTTTCAGCAGTTAGTACACCAAGTCAATTGTCAAATATCTAAATTGAAAGTAGACTGTATTTGGAAAACTATCCAACCATCTGTTCTGTTATTAAGTGCAATAATTTTGATTAAATGTTGCATAAATAAGTCTATGAGTTGTTAACTTCTCCTCATACAAAAATGAAATCACACAACTAAAGAATCTAGAAAAGGCATTAAAGAAAAATGTCACTGCCCTCACAAAGTACTCTCTTTATAGTAACATCCAGTATAAACATGTCCTTTCCTGACTTATTTTTGCACGCTAGGCTATATCTTGTAAATGAGGAGAAAGTTCATATGTCATACCTTTGCTAAAGTAAAATATTTAATCTCTTATATATCTAAAGTAATGTTCCATCTGCTTAGAATGGTGAATTTAAACAGTGTCTTATCTTCGTCTATTTTCTTTCCTTCCATTCAGTGCCAGATGAAAGTAAAGTTCACTCATTGGCTGGACACAAATTGGGTAAGAAATTCCTCATAACTCATTTTACTTTCTCCCTTCCTGGAAACCGCTGACCAAATACAAGTAGCAGTTGGAGCCTGCTTCCATCCACCAGTCACAGAAAGGCTTGCTAATTAATACATGAGATGTCTCTGACTTCCACAGTGATAAATTAAGGCTTGGCTGTATGCATAGTTGCATGCAGGCTGACATGAATCATCTGAAGCAAAAGTATGACTGTACCCTTTAAAAAAAAAAGTGAAGTCCATAAAAAGAAAATCAAGAAGTGTGTCAGTTGAACATTAAGGGTAATGAAATTTTTAGAAAGACAACAAAAACCCTTAAATTTTTCCCATGATGCTTTTGGCATCCTAATATCGCAGTGAAAAGTTTGACAGTGTGAATTTTTTTTCTTTTCTTTCTAAAGAACTGAAGTTATAAAAATGTTGGTTAATTATCCTCACTAGAGTATTCAACCCCAACATACACACACACATACACACACACACACTCCCCTTCAAAGCAGAATATATCATGTTTTCTTTTAAATCATGAGTGATCTTTCCAAAATGACTCCAGAAAAGCTCTGTGATACCAGCATCTTCTGAAACCTCCATTGTTATTGTAGGCTAAAAGAAAAGACATCTTCATAGCTTCTGTATTTCAACTTGTCTTTTGTAATCTGGAATTTTAGAATCTGTTCATCCTGATACTTAATTGTATTAAAATAGGTTTCAGTGTTGTATTCCCTTAAGATTTTTAAAAAAATCTAAACTTTGAGTTTAAGATTTTTTTTTCTAACATACTGCTAGCAGACCTCAGTATGGGTAGAAATGGATGTGGAAATGCTAAAGAAATTTCCTTTCTCGGCCAGCATTTTCTGTCTACTGTATTTGATGACAGTGATTATCTTAATATAATTATAAACCAGGGTTTCAATATCTCATTATTTGTATCAAGTCAGATAGACCTGTTATCTGTAATTATTTTATCATTAAGGATTCCCCTAAGCCAAATCTACCTGTCCTTCTCTAAATACCATCACTTTATCCCAGGTCTACTTAACCTTACTGGGCCTTAGTTTGCTTATCTGAAAAAGAAGAGTTTGGACGAGATGCCCTATGAGATCTTTTCCTCTAAATCCGTGATCCTAGGATGTGTTCAAATTCAGTGTCAAAGGAAGGTTTGAAATGCTCCTCTTATCTGAGACATACTCCCTCTGTGATCACTCTAGTGAGAACAATTAACCAACATTTTTATAACCTCAGTTCTTTACTCTGCCCAATGATCTCTTGAATCACTTCAGAGGAGCTTTCCAAAAAATTCAGGCTTTGGAAAAGGAAAATGCATTGCCTCCCTTCTAATGGGAGGTCTTGAAGGAAAGTCTGGATGGCCTTTTATTGAGTGTTTTTTAATAAGAATTCTTCAGGTAGGGTTGGACAAAATGGCTGCTCGAGTCTCTTCCAACTCTGAATTTTTGATTCTAGCCTTTCTACTCTTTCTTGATCATCTTTAATTTAAACCAATTGAATATGTTTAAGGTACTATATATCATGTACGAAACATTCCCAGTTCTCTGAGGAGTTCCTCTTTGTTAAAACTCTGTTGGAAAAATTATCTATCTTAGTCTTAGATTTGCCACTCAGTTACAACAGAAGGATTGCAATATGTTGGCATCCTTCGGTTTTCTGAAACAAAAGGGAAAGGCTTTCCCATCAATGAGCATCTCCTGTGTTTATATGCCAATTATGTTTTCAGCCATAAGTGGCCTTGATGCCTCATTAGCTCCATCATGTTTCAAGGCAAGATTATGATTTTTTTTAATTTTAATACTTCTCCAGATTCTTTAGTGATAACAGCAGGGGAAGCATTGGTTCACAACTCTTAGCTTATTTTTCCCCCCATTTCTCCTAATAAAGAACTCAAGAGGATTAGATCACTGTGAGAGAGAAAGTTTCTGTGGGAGTGATAAAATTGCCACGTGCTGATTGTTCCCACCATCTTCTTGTTTTAAAACATTCTAGTACTTGAGTTTTTTATAGGTATCAGAAAGGCAAGGTCATATGACTCATGAACCCCAAGGATATTTGAAGCTATTTTTGCCTTTCATGGGTATACTACTTCTTCTGTGTCTTCATGCTGTTCCCTAAAGATGTGAGTTTTCTGTCTAGAATTAGAGTAGAAGATTAAAAAATGTAAAAGCATTCCTTTAAAGACTTTTTCATGAGTCTTTCTAAAATAAACAAATAAGAAATAAAAATTTTCTGGCCCCTTTCAGGAAACTAAACACAAGACTATTTTTACTCAACTTCTAAACAATTAGATTCTGGGTTAGCCAAAAACTCTGTTATCATCACAACTTTTCATAGAGAACAGTGTCATCTTTCCTAGGGCTGTCTCTGTTTATGAAAGAGATGAGGCTCACAGAGCACAGAATGAAAGTCCAATTTAACACTTGACATTTGGATTCCAGTATTCTTTACCTCCTTCTTTTCCAATCCCAATGATGTGTGTTTCAGATGATGCAGATTCTTTCTCTCCCAGTTGTTCTTCACAGTGTGTGGCTGCTTAGTATGTCTCCCATTTGGAGTTTCATGTTTAGACTGATCTGCCCCTACTGTGCTCACCAGTTCTAATTGGGATTACTCATCTACTTTCCACAGCCGTGGTTTCCCCAAAATTGCTTTTCTGAAAATCTTGAGACAGAAATCATAATCTTTCTAGGAGAGAGTGTTCTTTCCTTGTCCCCACTATTTTTTTAATTACAAAAATACAGGTAGCTTTCCTTCCATCCAAAACCATCAAAAAGTCAAAAAAATTAGATTTTGTGTGCTGACCTAAATGTATCATCTTCCCTCTCATTCAGGATGATATGCAACAGTTTAATAAATTTGTCTGGGTAAAAGATTTCCCGAGTCAGCTACTTTAGGTTTTGGAGGAACATTTTAATGCCAAGTTACATCTGTTGGTCTGGTTTGGGTGAATCCCAAAAATGTGACAGGCTTGCTGGCATGCATGCTGTGGCCGTCTTCCTGTCTAAGTGATGCCTGAGAACTCAGGTCAAGCCAAAGCCTCAGACAAGCTAGATGATTCTAACATTCCCATCCAAAAGGCAGGCTTCCCCCTTTCCCTGAAATAAAAGATGGGTCAGATATTCAGGAGAAGACCTGTGTTCCCATCATTCTCTGCCAAGAGGGAAAGCATACTGCCTGAACTTACCGTTTGTTTGCAGTTTGTTAGGCCATTTTCCTATCAATATGATATTATTTGTATTTACTTTTTGGGTAAGATTCCCTCTTTACTCCTTGCCCCCCAAAAAGCCCCCTGTCTCCTTATCATATAAGCAAAAATCTTTTCATTATCATTCTGGTTTTTTTTTAAAGGTCATAGGTACATATTCCTTTCATGTTAAAGCATAGGCATAGGATGTAACAAGAAATTCCAAGAACCTATTCAAATGTATCCATATCCTCCTTGATTTGGGAGTTCCTTCAAATGAGGCAGATTTCAGCCCATTCATACCTGGCCATCCTGTATGACTTTCATTCATGTTCTCCCAGAGTTTTCCATAGGAGGTCCACTCAACTTGCTGGAGACCTTATTAGCTTTAGCCTGACCTAATGAGCGCACTCTGGCCATCCACCTTTCTTTCATTTCTCACTCTTGCCTTTCTCTTGATCAGCCCATCTTCTCTTTGTGGCACATGATTCCTTGATGACCTAACCTCATTTATTCCTGTTCTTCTTCAGAAATCCTTCACAAAATCCAGACATCAGCAAGGCTGAAGTCAATAGGAAAACTGTATCATAAAAAATAAATTCAAATGAATAGAAATTTTTGGAAGAGAGAGCCAAGTTCTGAGAACATTAGCTCATGTTGATATTACTTCTTAGCTGTAGTTTAACTCAGGTGCTGGGTATGCTCAGTATTACAGAATATTTCTTCGAAGGAAATTTTTTTTTTAAATTTTCTATTCTATGTACCCCATTCTGGAACCTGAGTTCATTCGCATTAAGCCATGATCCACTTGTAAATTTTTCTTTTTACTGAGTTTTCATATTTTGGTTTTGATTTACGGCTTGGAACTCTTTTAAAATGTATTGACTGTCTGCTGAGATCTTTGCTGACACAGGTCTTCAGGATGATGCAGTGCTGAAGAAAAGCTGATGAGTTCTTCTTTATGAGCTCTGACATATTAATTAGGAAAATGGACTAAAAAAGCTTTCCTATTTCTATTTTAATTTCTGATGTGCCCAAACATTTAGTTATAGGGTTGTAAAATAAGTGAGCCCTGTGAGAAGTACTAGGGACAAAAGCCCAGCACTTTACTGGGACAAGTTTTCAATCAATGAAAATGCAGGATGGTCCAGGGGAAATAATATGGGATTTAGAATTAGAAGACCTGGGTATGAATTCCAAGTCTGCCATTTGGCAGGTAGGTGGCACAGTAGATAGAATATGGGGCCTAGAGTCAGGAGGGCCTGAATTCAAATCTGATCTTGGACAGGCTTGGACACTTAGTAGTTGTGTGAACTTGTGTGAACTTAACCTTTGTTTGCCTCAGTTTCCTCATTTGTAAAATGGAGATAATAATGGTACCTACCTCCTAGGGTTGTTGTGAGGATCAGATGAGATAATAATTATAAAGTACTTAGCACAGTGCCTGGCACATAGTAGGTGATATATAAATATTAGCTTTGATGATGATGTGACCTTAGGCAAGTCCGTTCTCCTTTCTGAACATAGGTTAACTACCTCATCTGGGCTAAGCATGGGTTGGGAGAAATATAGTTGAAGTATAAGGTCTAGTTCCTGTACTCAAGGAGCTTACAGTCTAGCTGGAGAAACATGTCTGACCTGTAAAAGAAGGACAGTGATAGAGCCTCATAAATATATATCTTCCTTTACCTGTTGAGGATCCTGCAAGCTGAACAATAAGTAGGAAAAGTTCTATTTCTTTTCTATATGAATTACATCGGTTTGCTTTATAGAATGTAACAATGTCCTATTAAGCTCCCTAG